ACCCTTGACTGACACGAATAGCACTGTCGCGTCAACTGCCCAGGAACAGTGAACAGCGCTTTGCCGCGCTTGGGATGTCTTAAACTACACCTCCGAACAAGATTGCTTTTTTCATGTTGCTTGGATAGAGTTTAATGTTTGAAGACAATTGGCATGATAAATCCCTAAGAAGATAGGATTAATACGCCTGGCAGGACGGGATTTCGCGCTCCCTGAGCAGGCGCTGCGTAGCGCCTTTCTCAAGGCGGGTACATTTATAAGGCCCTATCAAGCTGCAACATCGACCCGAACCCACCACGCCCGCCCGCCCACAAATGGACGACCGTACCTGATGCTCGTATTGCTTCATTTGCGAAGTAAAATATGAAGCGAAGGGATTGATATGAAGCGGCGCGGTGCTGCATGGATATATGAGTACATACGTGCAGCCATATCTACCGTAGCGGTTACTAGGCACGATGCCAACGGGAAACTCGTCCGAAATTACTTTTTGAGTCATGAAGAACGAAGGCTTTTCTTCGCAGGTTTTTGACCGTTTCACTTCTTTTTTTTCGCCATTTTTCCACTATGCTGCTAGCTTTTAGACCAAATACCAATTTATAGTGCCACAAGCCTTAAAATGATGTAGTGGTGAAGTAGTCTCATCCCGGATAGGCTCCCTCTTCCAACCGGTCGGGCCTTCTATCTTTCCGGGATCAGCTAATCAGTAATAGGCCTGTCCTGGAGGACCGAGCGTTGTCTGTCAATATGGTCTCCGCACGTTATCGAAGAGCCCGATTTGCTCAAACGCCACCACCATTCTGAATTGGACGATCATGCGTGGCAATCCGAGCAAGGAAGTGACCAACGCCGAAGGCCCTGTCTGTTCTGATAATACGTGGGTTCCTCGAATCTTCTCGTCTGTGGAGCCACTCAGCGCCTTCCTGAAATGTCCTCTTTGTTCGGTTTTTCTCAGGCTCTCTGCACTAATATCTGATTCATCGCACTCACCGTTATCAGACATTCTCACATATTTTTTCTGGCATTGTCGGGTCTTCAACGATTTTTGGTGCAGAGTTTCCTATCTACTCGTACTTCGTTACATTGCCGTCAGATTGGGGCGCTGTGAGGGGGTAGGAGGCTGGATGAGTCTGTCTCCAACTGCCTTACTCTACCAATGGTGATCAGCTAGTGATTGTTAAGAAAGAAAACAACTAGTGTGGCAACGCCGCATGTGGGGTCAGTCCGTTCTCTCTGAAAAGCGACCCCGGGTAGTGGTACAGGTCCAGGAAAACGTTCAGTTGGAGTTCGACATTCAAAAGGTAGAGGGTACAGTCGTCATCCGGGCAGTTGATTAGGCGGTGAAAGGGTCGCAGACGCGGCTGCGGTGCGTCACGACCGCGGCGATCAGCTGTTTCCAGCCTATTTAGCCATTTTCTCCCTAATTTTCACTGTTTTTGGCTGCTTTTCCTAAGGTTAGTTGTTCCTTGTCTTCACAAGGTAAATTATGATTGAGATTTCTCTAATTTTCGCGAACAATTAAAAGTTAATTGGAACAAGCAATTAGACAAACACCGAAAGGATTCCTATTTCTCGTCCTTCATATAAAAACTACCTATTTGGAAGAAAATGAATAATAGTGAAAATTAGGGAGAAAATGGCTAAATAGGCTAAACAGCTGATCGCCGCGGTCGTGACGCGCCGCAGCCGCGTCTGCGACCCTTTGACCGCCTAATCAGCTGCCCGGATGACGACTGTATTTAGTTGTTCGACTAATTTGCTTTTCCAGATGCGCCACACCTTCTTTCTCATCGTCTTCATTTTTTGCTCTCTCGCTAGAAAAACTCTAATTTGTTCATCCGGCCCTCGACTCGTTGTTTATGCCATATGTTCACTGAGCAAATGAAAATCAGTGAAAGAAATGAAAGATAAAAAAATTGCACTCAAAAATAACCGCGTTTTTAAAACTCGTTCGGTGGCACATCCTCAAAAAAATTGCTCTTCACGTTTTCTGCACAAATCTCGTAGAATAAGAGTATCCTGTAGATTTGGTAGAGGAGAGCCTTTCTATTACTACTCCCTTTCACCCTCTATTATTGCGATTAGGCGGGGGTGGTACAGTGGCAAGTAGCCGCTTATACCGCGTGCAGTCTGTCAGTCAAATCCCGGACGGGCTCCCACATGTGTCGATCAGACCGGGTCAAATTTCTTGCTTCCTCGCTGCGAGTTCAGTGATTGCAACCAGTCTTCCCTGAAAGTGCAAGGGGCTTACTTTGACATTCGATGCTTCCGTAAGTACTTGTACAGGCCACTTTTCATCCAGAGACCTGCTAGAAAACTTTATCCTTCATACATTCACTAGTAGAAGTGCCGGCTGACATCGGCGCTATTAGTTCCTTGTCGGAATGGTTCGGCTGCGGCGCGCACTTCTTCTTCCAGTGAACTGAACTCCCGGTCAATGCGGACCTCGCACCTGTCCACTTGAACAGAGCTCCTTATCACTGTAAAATGCGAATAGTGTTGAAAACAATAGGTGTGATGGTATAGAGTAAGGGTCGTTCACCAGATGCATGCATGATACGATGCTCGGCAGTGTTTCAACTCAGCGTGTAGTCTACGACAGGGACTATCCCATTAAGGAGTCCTGAGAAATTCGTAACATGTTCGAGCTTTTTTCGAGTCAAGTTCATTTCAAAGAAAAGCAATTTCGATCAATAACATATACGTTACCTTCAAATTGTGGCCAACCATCAAGCAAAGCTCACTTCCAGAAGCCTTTTGGCAAGAAAGGCAGCTGGCGCATTTTTGAAGAGCTTTTGGAAACCGTATTTTTACCGGAAAGATGGCCGCTGAGGGATAAGTTCAGTTGCTATTCAGAAAGAGCTGGGTCGGGCTACACGAAGACTGTGGCGGAATTCCCCAGCTAAGCTTCAGGATCTCGAGCAGTGTCATTTTCGAAACGTGTGACCTGAGCTGTGGTGGAGTAGGCAAACATTGCGGGGTTAAAGGATCAAATGGTGGAGATGGTGGGGATTTTCATTCTCCCTGTGGAATTGATTACAATAGGAATCAACACTTTCCTCAGCGTTGAGAGGAAGAATTTCCCTGCGATAAACCTCACCACACACAGTAACTCCGCCTCACAGGACAGATAGGATTGAACGACCGATCCCGTCCTTTCTGGAGGATCCAGCTACTGGCGCTTCCGGGAATGGTTCATTAGGAGACACCTACTCCATACCCGATTACTACGTTGTTCAACCTGCTCGTATGGCAGGAGCGGGAGAGAATATGTAGACAGTACTCACATGCGCTTCCCTTGGAGTATCAATCAACTCAAAAAATTTTTTGACCGAATTTCAATACTTTTCTGAGGAAGTGAGGACTCTTCATTCGTTGCTTATGAAACAGCCAAGTGTGAGGACTTGATTTACTTTTGAGATTTTTTTTTTTCTATACGAACTGATTCGTACGGCTTGGTTTAATCAAGGAACGCATTACGTCCAAATCCATGGCAGATGGCCTCCTTTGACGATGTTTCTCTCCCTCGTGGAAGCGAAAGGGATCGGGCCATTTTAACGCCGTACTATGGAAGATAGTATCAGGACCTAACTCAGAGCAAATGCCGCGTGTAGCTTCAACCACGTTGTGACTTAGTGGAGATTCATACAGCGAAATGAGACGAAAATGAGGAATTTCATCTACCATTTCGTAGATGAGTACAACGGCTGCGAGGGACGGTAAAGCAACTGTGGGATGCTCACTTAACACACTTCCCATAGACCACATAACTGGATCTCGAAATAGCTGCGGAAAGATCTGATACGAGATTCAAAAAAATGTCACGAATTTTTGGGACACCCCAATAGTTTCATTGAATTCAGCGACCTTAGATAAAAGAGTAGGACCAGAAACATTAGGAGCCCCAAAACCAGATCCCAAGACCAGTTCGTAAATATGCGGCTGTTCGCATATTCATGAAATGCTTTCGGAAACTTCATGCAGCACTGCAATGCTATGACTTATAAAACGAAAATGCCAACGAGTTAATCCGCTTCGATTGCCCGATAAAAACCGGGTGTAAGCAAGAAAAAGCGCTCTCGCGGGGCAAACCCGCGAGGTTGTTGGGGACACTCTGTGCCTTATGAAATAGAAAAAGTTCCCATTCTTCCATCTCGAGATCCCTTTGCAGTCTTCTCTTCAATTTCCCTTGTCCAGAACTTGAGCGGAACGCACAGTCGTGCAGTTGTAGAGGACCATCAAATCATGTCACTGGTCATGCCCCGTACAATTTTCTATCAATGTAGAGGCATTTCAGTGAGAAACTACGAGGACTTCAAAGTACTATCCGGCACCAACTTCGAATTTCCGCTTCCACAGTTCTTCACCTGCATTGGATTTTTCATCGTCTACCTAGTCGAGGAAGTTTGCATAAAGGTGGGTCGTTTCCTATATTTTCCGTTCGAGCCTCAGCCTCGACCATTCTGTGTTCGTTTCGAACAATCGCAGCCGTGTAGGGATTAGCAGACCAATTTTACGCACTTTTGGGTGACCTTGCTCGATAAACCAACAAAAAATTCCCGCTCAAAACACACCACGTACGAAGTTTCACGACACAGAACGGAGCTTTGGTCGCCCTCTCATCCACATGGGCTACCATTATGGTCACCACGCAGTTCCACACTTGTGTTGAAGGGAAAGTGAAACGTATGGTCAGAGCTAAATTTTCCAGAGTTCTGTGATAATATGTCCAGTTTATGACTTTTCCAAAGGAGGAACGGCCGAGCGCTAAATGGATTTCCAGCGCCAGTCCAGATTAAGGACTATGACCATGGGTAAAGGTCCTTCCGGCTGTAGCATTTCAGCTCTTCTCAGAAGGAGGCATATTCTTAGCGGCCAGCATTTGGGATCTCACCTTGACTCGCTTAAAAGTAAACAACCAACACCACTTCTCGCAACAGAGCTGCTGTCCGCTTCCTTCTTTGGGGCCGTATATGGTTGTTAGTCATTCTGTATGCGTTCTGTTCCGCCAATTAGGACAGTTAGTAATCTTCAGCGGGGGGAGGGGGTTGCATTTGGTCGCTGAAGGGAGGGGTCGTAATTGACTCGAGAGGAATATTTCCGGTTGTTGATTCCCGTTCCAAAAGCGCTTTATACGCTCTCCTCTCCTCAGCACGGAAGCTGGGGAAATCCAGGAAGATGGGTAGGTAGCATGGTTGATGATAAGGAGGGAAGTCGAAGCAGAGGACGAAGCTTTAAGTAGGCTCGTATTTTGCGAAAAATATCCCCAACGGCAGGACAGGACGTGTCCTGGTGCTGAGTGGTGCTTGACAGCGCTTTGCTGGATATAAAACAGCGTGTAGACTTCGCGATGACGCGCGTCGGCGCACCACAGTCGCTACAGTACTCCATCCCTAGGCGCGACCGCAGCCGCAGACGGGAATCGGTCGGCGCCGATCACTTGCGTTTTGTATACGATCACAGGAGGATAGGCGCTGCCTCACACAGTCTGACACCTCCCTATTTTTCTGTATCCTCTCAAAGCCCTAGCGGCCAGTCCCGATCGATATCAGCTGCCTGACTAGGCAACATGTACACTCCTTTTCCTCAGTCTCTCTCTCAATACGCATGCGGCCAGCGCCGATCGATTGCCGTCTGCGAATCCGTTCGCGTCTATAGTATTGGAGCGCTACTACAATGCTAGCGCGTCGTCGCGAAGTCTGGATGTTTCCTTATTATCGAAAAGGTTTGCAGTATTGCAGGTGTTTGCGATGAAGCATGACCACGGAAGTTCGGTGGAAGTGGAGAAGGCTCCTCCTCCAAAGGACAACCTCAATCTGAGAAAGTACGTGTTTGTGCCCTAGACCATCTCTTTAGAGACTAACTTCTTTGCACGGCATGCATGCTTCTCTTAAGGTCGTAGGGAAAAGCACAGCTTTCTCTTCTCTTTTGCTCAGCACGAACTACTATTCTATCTTTGACTGACATGAAATTGGCTGCATTCTATTAGGTTGTCCGGAAAGTTCTCAGCGTTTTGGGTGTTTCACTTTAAACGATCGTAACTTTTTTAATACTCATCGGATTTAATCGAAATAGGCACCATTCGAATCAGCACACTTTTGCCAATGTGACAGCAGTCGAGAAATCCCATCAAAGTAAAAAACTGGGTGGTCGAAAATTCACGAAATCCACTAAGGCTTTTTTGCCTGGTCCTGATTGATGAAGTATTTTCCAGCAAGGGAGTTCTGAAAATGTTAGAAAAGGTGATAGTCGGTTGGCGAAAGGTCTGAAGAATATGGCGGTTGAGGTAGAACTTCAACCCCCAATTCGTTCAATTTATGGATAGTGATTTGTGAAACGTGTGGGCGGGCGTTGTCATGCAAAAGAATCGGCCTTCTGTTGACAAGTGCTGGCTGCAGCTGACAAAATTTTCGGTACATTCGTCGATTTCTTCACAGTAGGGTTCTGCTGTGATGGTTTGGCCTGGTGATAAAAAGTTATAGTGGATCACACCAGCCGATGACCACCAAGCCGTGACCAGAATCTTTTTTCGTGAGGGTTCGGCTTTGAAAATTACCTCGGTGGTTCGTCGAAATCCAACCACTGTCCGGAACGTCTCCTGTTATCATACATGACCCATTTTTCATCACAGGTGACAATTCGGCCCAAAAACAGGTCGTTTCTGCTGCGCAAAAGCAATGCAGAAGGAACCTCGAGACGTGCCGATTCCTGCCGGTCACTCCGATTGTGGGGCACCCAATTGTCGAGTTTTTTCACCTTCCCAATGCGTTCCAGACCATCTGCAACAGTGGATTTGCCAAGGCCTAGCTCTTCTGCTATCTCTCGAACTGTTTGGGATGGGTCAGCCTCCAAAATCCCCCTAAAATCCTCGTCAGATATTGCTTTAGGTCGACCGCTATGAGGTTCATCTTCAAGGCTGAAATCTCCAGAACGAAATTTGTTGAGCCATTGCCGCACAGTGCTTTCTCTAGCACTATTGGGCCCCCACACCTGGTTAATTTGTTGAGCTGTTTCGATTGCGGATTGCCCCAATTTATAGTCGAAGAAAAAAATCGTCCGAAGTTTTTCACATGCTTGAAAAAATCTTGAAAAAAGAGGGTTTATCAAGCAATGGTGAAACGGCAATTATACCATCAGATAGCGCAAGAAATTCTCTACAGGATGTGCTACTGAGAAGCAAGGCAGAATGAGTTTTTAATCAGCAGTGAATGTACAAAAAATAGGTGCACAAAACGCTGAGAACTTTCCGGACAACCTAATATTTTGTTTTCGTTGAGGGGACAATCACAGCAAACATCAGGAGCCGATAGCATTGACAACTTGCTAACAGCTTTAACACAAGACCTAACTCTCTGAACGAATTCCAAGAAGTGTCGGTAGAGAGCTTGGCTGCGGTGACGGCCACAAACTAGTCTGTACTTCTTACACTTTCATTTCACTTTACTTGACATACTTAAGCACCTCGATGTTCAGTCCCACATCCTCGTCGAATGCCGCTCACGTGATATCACTCGTAACGCCACTTTCGCCACATCGCCGCAAAGTGGATCTCCCAACCCACACCCGAATTTTAAACCACCTGTTTGTGATGCTATCATTGACATGCAGTGGCACAACAGTAGTCCACTATCTCCGTCACTTAGGGAACCTGAAATGGGTCACCTAGAACTATCATTCTGTGTGAGAAGTTTTTCCCTGTCCCCGTTCTCCCCTACACACCCTTATCTTCTCCTCCGACACAGTCCCAACTTAGAAAGCCCTTAAGCGAGACCCACTAAATCTTGGATCAGCTATCAGAAGCAGTAAATTGCCGCACTCCTGGCCAAATTGGAATCGGTTAAGCAGGCGGATCTGCCTTTGAGGACAATCCTTGCACGGCGACAGTAATTCTTTCGTGAAGCTCTTCGAAGCACAGGCTTTTTTCCACTAAGTTCTTTTCTGAATCCCCCCCCCCTTGTGCAGATCCCTCCCCTCCTTGTTTCTCTGAGAGAGCTCCATTATCGTTGGCGAACGTTGATTTTGGAGCAGGCCTCTAGGAACTTGCGCTCTCGTTCCTGTGGTTCTTAGAAGAGCTCTGGAGTAGAAAGGACCCTGTTCTGATTGAGGGAAGCCTTATCATGACGTGCTCCAAACTACAAAACAACTTAGTGATACCATTTCTTTTTTTAAAGCCGATGTTACGTCAAGCAATTGGAACGATCTCTTCCACGCCGTTTGTCCGTGATGGACTGGAAACGCACGAATTGTTTATGGGACCATGACGCTATCAATGTATTCTAGGGCTGTAGTTGGATAAGAAGAACTCGAGCAGCGGCAGTCCATTTGTTTCTGGTGGGGCCATAGTACCTGGAAATAAGAAAATCATTATACCTGGCTACTAATACTAGTATTTACTATCTGACAAAAGAGGTAAGGGATGGTGCGAATGAAGCTCTAGATCGGATGGACCATTTTCTTGGAGTGCGAAAGACTGCCTCATTTTAAAATGAGGAACGCTGCCACGGCCCTCCACATCTGCGGAATATCCTTCTGACTGAGGGATGAAGTACGTACTCACTATGTTACACAATCAGAACGGTCCCTTACAACGTTGTCAACCTCATGCACGCTCTGAGTAAAGCTGTGCTTCACTATCTTTTCTGTTTGGAGCAGCTTCCATCAAGCGATGAGTAGAATTTAGGGCATTTTTCCACTATTACTACTTCAAACTCAAAAAAACTTTTTTGGCTGAAACTTGCTCACAGAGCCCCTTTTATTTATAGTCACAAATGTGATGTTCTTTTTCAGCGCTGGCGCAAGTTGCCGCCAGTAGGCACCAATTTAGCGCCATCACCTATCTCACCAAAATCTATGAAAACTCGTATAGGAAGATTATTTGACATTCTGATCACGAAACTGACATTCATTCTTCGCGCCGGCGTCAACGCGGTGTACTCTGATCATCTGCTCTCTGCCAAGGCTCAGCCGGTGAGAAGAGAATCGCTGACCCTCTCAAGCTCAGCCTTAGCCGAGCGCTAAATTGTGCAGGTGTCATCGAATTTTTATGTGGATGGTGGTCGTGCCAAATCGGTGCCACTTGGCCAGTGACACAAAAACAGATGCGATATTTGTGATAAAGATGTCAAGCAACCCTCATATTCGAGTTTTCATCGATTTTGGTGAGAAAGTGTTGGCGCCGAATTGGCGAGTGTCATATTCATGACGAAGACATCGATTAACATTAGTAGACAGAGTTTCAGCGAAAAAAATTCCAAGTTCTTCGAGTAGTAAAATTGGTATAGTGCCAAAAATTTCTGGCCCTTCTTTGGCTTCTAGCTAACACTTGCATGTGCTACAGCTTTCAGTACTCAAGCACTTCTCGGTTTGATGAGCGACGAAGACGCAAAGGCTGTCAATTTGCCAACCCACAGGTTTGCATCGTTCTCGCACTAATATCCCTCCTAGAAATGCTTTCAACTTACAGTTTATTCCGTCTAACAACCATCAACACCACTTCATCTAAGCCTGAGTTTGAAAATGTTGTGACGTTTGTAGATAGACGAAGTAGCCTAGACCGTAGCTAGTCCCTCAGTTCAGCTACGAGGATGGAACAGTGCTTGTATAACCGTTAGGTGCAGATTCAGCCTTGTTATGGAGGAAACGGCGAACTACGCCGTCGCAGAAGCGTCCGAAGGATCCCTGCTGAAATCGCTGACGTTCGCCGTCGCCATGTCCTTCCACTCAATCCTCGAGGGATTCGCTCTTGGAGTACAGGTCCTGCAAATCAGTCATACTCTTTCTCGGCTACAAACAGCTCTCGAACCTATCTGCTTCAGAACACAACCGCACGAATCGTCACCCTGTTCATATCACTTATCCTGCACAAAGGTGTCGAGGCGTTCAGTGTGGGGTTACAGGTCTCCAAGGGAAACAGCAACAAGGTAAGCCGTCACTTTTCATGCCTTCAGACCAAAGACACAAAGCTGTTATTTAGTTGAAAGCAGTAATTGCAACAATCCTCATCTACGCTCTAATGACCCCTCTGGGGTCAGGCCTGGGAACTCTGCTTCAGGTAATTTCTGCGATTTGCTCACTGAAATGGCTAACCTTGCGTTGCTGTTGAAAATCTGTACTATTGTGTTAAAAAAAGGTTATCATGGATGCCGCTTCTGATCTTCGCGGGCCCTGATAACTGTGTTCGCAGTGTTCAGATGCTACATAGTACGTGTACAACTACACTGAAAAATTTCAATAGAAGAATGTGATCATCTAGCTCAAAATTTCTGGCAAAAGTTGAGCTATCCTAGCTGCCATACAGGTTTATGAATGGCACTATCTTCGTCATCATCACTTCTTGGAGCCTTCTGAGCTCCTTTGTTTCCCTTCTATTCTTCTGTAATAACGTTGCTCCTCAGATTTCTTCTAAACTCGTTATTGTGGTGCTTCAAAAACGCTCCTTCCTATCATCACTATTCTATTAGGTCATCCTCATTCAAAAATGTGGAGACATATAGAGGAATGGCAGGAAAGCAAAGGGGATAGGGCAGCGGGCTACTATACCATTTGGAAGCTAGTACCTTTAGCTATGTATCTGTGAAATTTGGCGAACCTAGCCACAGAAGAAGTTCTCGAGAAATTGAAAAGAAGCCCGAGTGGTGAAAATCAGCGCCGGATTTTCAAATCAGGCGTCATAAGAGGAAAGCGCTGCTCAAATTTGACCTGTGCCAGACCAGTAGTTGTGTGTAATGGTGTTCTCGAAATACAAGGTGGAAGGTTTGGTTCAGGAGCCCGAAGAAGGAAGAAAGGAAAAATTTGTTGTCGTGGATGGTCCCATAATGTTCATCCTGCACAAGAAAAAAGGGTGGATGAAGTCAAGCGCTGAATGTCTGATCACAGAGGCCAGACCTTGTCGAGCTTCCCCGCGAGACCGAGACTGACATCCCTGCTGCAACTGGTTATGTCCGATAAACTGAGGATGGTCAAGAGGGTGTGCGCATGGGTACCTAATTTTCTTGTAGAAGCACGAACGCAGTACCGATTCTATGCCTCTAGCAGTAATGTTCTCAGCATGAGATGTCATTCACGACTGTGAAAACGCACCCCGGCCCTAGATGAAATATGGGTGGTCTCGAAGTCCGAGCGGAAACACCCAAGTGTCAATTTTGTATGAATGCAGATGAGAAGCCGCCCGAATTCCGTCGAAAGGAGTTACGTGGGCCCAAGTGGATGAACATCATAGCGAAGGATTTCTGCACTGTGGCTTTCAAGCGGTTCTACACGGAGTACAATTCATCACTGTCGACCTATATTGCTTGTTCTTCGTCAATCAGATCGACAAATGGATGATACCACACAACTACAAGAAGGCCACCATCGCTAGCCACAGTATCATACCCCGGGTATTATAGGGCACGGCTGGGACACAAACAATACTGAGACCTGGGTTCAATCGCCTCCATTCGCCCATATAAAGCCGTTCGATTCCAACTGTTCTGGTCAGTCGAGGGTACTCTCCGACGGCAAACGCTACAATGTTTTGTCATTCGCCGAAATTGGCAGCAACAGCAATTTACTCGCACTTGTTGAAAAAACGAAGGTACCAGAGGTCCAAAGGCTTTCGGGGCACTGGGAGCGGGTCATTGGTGAAGGAGGGATCTACTTAACTCGAAGCCAAAATATTAC